GGGCAAGGAAGGGGACGAGCGCGCGCGCGCCTCGGCGTGGTGCCCGCACCCCTGAGGCGACTCCGCCGAGGTGCGCCGCCGGGCGCGGGAAGAAGCCAGTCCGGTTCAGCCGCCGCCTCCGCCTCCTCCTCCTCCTCGTTGTCTTCTTCTTCCCCGGGGCTCTCCATGGCGCGGCGCGTCAGCCGCCCTCGTCCGGACAGCAGCCTGGCGCCGCCTCGGCCGGGAGTCTCCGCCTGCCCCGGTTTGAAGGCAATGGGCGGATCAGTGGCCGAGGGCGGCTTCCGCCGGGCTACCCTTTCCTCTCTACGCGCGCCAGCAAGTTCGCGTGTCATCCGGGCCGCTTAATCCGGATTAGACGCTTGGACGCTCCCTTTCCTCCCGCTCCGAATGTAGATTCCGCCCTCGCCACCGTTCCTTCAGGAAATGGCCGAGGATTTACTTAAAGTGTTGGGGGGAAAAAACGCTATTCTTTCTTAACTGGGGTGGGGATTGACCCCTGGCCCCTTATTAACTGGGGGTGCGTTTTTCTCCCATATAGATCCACAAATTGAGCTGCCAAGTGGGGCATTCCAGCCCCAAGTTTGAGGAACCTCGATTCTCTTGTCTTGACCTACCTTATAGGGTTGCTGTGAATACGAAGAGGGGAAGAGTGGAATTGTGTACCCGGACCAGCTCATTGGAGGACAGGCAGCTCATGAAGGGGAAGGTGTAACTGAGGAGCCTGCTGTTATGAGCAGAGGTGACTCGGACCCATAGGGACCTGTGGGGTTGGGTGGCCATGAGCCAAGCGAAAGGAGGTGGAAGCGAGGGGGATCTAAGGCTGAACAACCAAGGGCCCCCTGGGGTGGAGTTTGAAACCTACCTTCCTGACTTGAGTTTCTAACCTTCACTTTGGGACCTCACTTTTAAGAATCAGATATGGCACTGACATCTGCCATAAATGTGGGAGTTCGATTCCCCACTGTGCCTACTCTATGTAAAGCCAGCCTGTGTGGCCTTGGGCAAACTGCACAGTCCCTATGAAGAAGTGAATGATAAACCACAATTGAGTATTTTCTATCTGAGAAACCTTGAAAAGTGTCACCGTTAAGTCACAACTGACTCGAAGGCACATAATAATTATTGCCTTGAGATGTATGTGTGTTACTTAGGGTCTGACTCAACCTGATGCCCTTTAGATGCTTTGGACTGCAACTCCCATTATCCCCAGCTGGTTGGCAATAGTGTAAGAATAAAAGAAGTCTTATACAGCAATTAGATTAAATCCCATCCATCTGACATTCTTTCTTCCCTTTGGAAGATCAGCAAATGGCCCTGAAAGCAGAGGAAGGGTTTGAAACGGGATTTATTCCTGATATGCATTATTATTAGATGGAGTGTTAGTACGATTAGCATTGATGCATTGCTTTTTTGCCTTGTGGGGCCCTCAAACCAACGTGCGATCACACATAACTTCAAAGTTACTTAGACTGCAGAATTTGGTCATCCTAAGTGTGAGATTCTAGAAGTTATAGTAGGGAAAAATTGTTTTTCTTCCAGGCTCTGTAATCAAATCACATATAATTTGAAATGCAAATCACTTTGCATTTCAAATTATACTTTTGCTACTGTTTTAACATCATTACATGCTTTATTTATACAGTAACTCAGAACCATAGAATTGCAGAGCTGGAAAGGATCTCACGGGTCACTAAGTCCAGCTTTCTTACCAGCTTGTCCTATGAAAGTGTACTATTTGCCATATTTATACAGTTTCAAAATATTCAACCCATAGTTATGTTCAAGCAAAATTCTGAATTATATCCTGCATTCAAGAGAGCTGCAAACTGCTGCATCGTATGCCACCTATGTATGTCAGGTACAGTACTTAAATGCATGTAACTTAAGTGTTTGCTATCCAAAAAGTAGGGGGAAGAAATGAAAACCATATAAATAAAACAAAATATATTCTTTAGATATAGTCTTTCACTGTGGCCATCTCCAGCAAACTAGAAGTCAAGTTAATTCTGACTTATGGTGACCTGTTCTTTCCAAGGTTTTCTATAGAGTACTCAGAAGTTGTTTACTATTACTTACTTCTGGCAGCTTGTCCATAATGGGCAGCTTGTCCATGGCTACGTAGGTTGGCTCTTCTTCCCCAGGAGGCCCAGGTCTACATAGGTTGGCTCTTCTTCCAGGAGGCCCAGGCTGAACTTCCAACCTCTGGCTCTGCCACTAGATACCCAAACCCCGAGCTATCTAATCAGCTCAAGACAGAACCCATCACTTCCCTCCTCCCTGCTTTACTTTTAGACCAACTCTGTGGGGTAGATGAGGCTGACAATGATGGTGCCAAGATCCTCCAATGCATTTCATAGCTCAGGAAGGCCTTGAACATAGATCTCCCAAGTTGTAAAGCTCCAACCAAAACTGACAAAACTCGATTGAAGTAAAAACAGCTTTAATCTGCAAGGGGACCGTGTAAGGCCTCACACGTGCTTTCTGTAAATACAGTCTCCGACCTTCCAGTTCAGGAAATGAAAGTTTAATATCTGAAACTGTTGTTTTCTCGCTGATCTTAATACCCGTTACATTGAAGCCGTTTCTCAAATAAAGTTTTCGGGCTTTTGGATCGTCGAGAAGCGTACGTTTCCCCGCAGAGGCTGGGCCTCACCCGTGCCCAGCAGCTGGAAACCCCAAGAGGGAGCCACTCTGCACATGTTCAGAGGCACCACCTTTGAACGCTTCCTCGCCCTCGGCGTCTATCTTCAGCCCTTTGTAACTTCTGCCCTCCCAAATGCCGGAAACGTAGAACTTGGGGGTCTCCCCAAACAGCACGGTGTGTGCGCGTGTGAAACAACACCCCTCTGTATATGCTCAGAGGCACGCGTCACCCGCGCGTAAGCACCCCTCCGTCCAGACTCCCAACCTGGAGACACAGGAAAGGTCCGGGGAGAACGACTTCTTGTTGCGTACACGCGCGTCTGAACCGCGTCAGGGGGGGGTGTCCGTCGCGCGCTTCCTCCTCGCGTCTGGAAGCCGGCGCCCCTGCCCGCCCTTTCGGGAGGGAGACCCTGCGACCGAGAAGGAAGGAAGGAAGGACGGGGCGGACGGACGGGGCGGACGGGCGCGAAGGGGG